TTAATTCCTTGACATTTTAAGCCATTGAATATTGCAGCCAAGACAGGCAGTGAAGCAAATAATTAATATACTTATACAATCTCTACTCTGACTTCACAACTTTATGCTGAAAATAAAGTGACTATGAAAAAGTGTCACAAAAATACATTGTTACTAGAGGTTTTTTAAAGATTGTCACCTCACTGAAAAGCTTCTACACTATTCAGTTCAGAGAAGGCTGTAGTAGCAGCACTCTACTACTCCATAATTAAAAAAAAAATAAAATTAAAACCCAGTAATAGATATACACCAAATATAAGAATGCTGCAATAAGAATCAAATTTTCTATTTGCAAAGCCTAAAAGCAGTATTATGTAGATAATCAAATGCAGGTAAATGGAAACTGTTGGGTTCATAAACCTCAGCACGGCAAGGACAAACACAAAAGACTTTTATTCCTGTAGCACAAGGCAGCTGGATTTTTTACTCATAAAATTCCAAGTGATCACCACCTGCCCTCCTGTGGAAGAATGCTGCTGCTGCAGCACTGCTCGTGGCCAGCCAGAAATACCACTTTGCACTGGGGCTTAATTCTATCAAAACAGCCCAGGCTTGTCAGGATGCAGCTCTAGTGCATATGAAAGGTCTTTTTGGAGGTCTTTTCCAACCTAAATCATTAGTGAAATTCATCCCAGGAGACAGACTCCTGTTAACAAGAAGTTGTTCAACAGTTCCTCAAGCAAACCCTTTACCTTCCCCAGGCACTTTCAGAAATACAGAACTGCTTGCTTTTGCTAAAGGAGGAGCAGCTGTATTTCCTATATCCACATAATGCCTCCTATAAAAGGCCCTGCTTCAATATCCAAGGTAGAAAACTACTGGAAAGGGAAGAAGAAAGAGAAAAGACAAGCAGCTGGATCTTTCCAAAGCATTCCTCTGAAGCAACATAGTAAAAACATCCAGAAGGACAAGCATTGGGCACTTTAAAAATTAACTTTGCTCCTTGAAACAGAGCAGTACACAAAGTCCAGGCAGCTCATTCCATGTCACAGCCAGGCAGAACAACAGTTCCAGCAGCAAATGCTCTGTGTTCATTGCTCAAAAACAGATCTTGGGGAAAGCATGTGCTCCTAACTCCCCACTCCTGCACACTGAAGGAGACAGGGCAGCCAAAGGCTTCAGCAAGGGCCACAAAACAACAAACCCAAGTGGCACACTGTGGGTTAGAGAAAAATGGAGTCACCCTTTTACTCATGCTGCTTCCCACAAATGAAGACTAAAACTGTTTATCAGTCAGCAAACAAGGCTGATCAAGTGAAGAAAATAATCAAAGTAGATCCCGATATGTTTGGTGGACTCTGACAAAACCCTACAATGTACCCAAAGCTCCCTTTGCTCCAGCAACTCCCTTTTCTTTAAAGGACAGAATTACCTCTTTTTTATTTCAGTGTTATACAAAACACACATTAAAGTTATTTGCAGTGTCTTAGAGAGAAATTCCACTTACCTGCATTTCGTATCCTTTCTTTGTACTGCTGGTCCAACTTTTTCATCCTTTTCTGATATTCCTGAAGAGTACCTAGTGGAAATGAATTGTAGATTCCCATTATTTTTTTTCCCCCAAGTATTAAATATCCTCAAGGAGTCATACACCACTCAAAACACATTCCCTGCTTTTGTAAAAAGTGCATTACTCCTTTTAAGGAGTGTTTTAGCAGAGAAGCTTAACTACAAGTGGAGTTAAGATGGAGAAAAGATGGGAAGCAGCTGACATTTTTAACCCTGCAGCACAGCGGAGAGCCAACATGCAGTGAAAGGTGCTGCTCCCACCTTTCAGAGTCCCCATCCTTCTATGACATATGAAAAACACTGAAAATAAAAACCAAAGTTACTCTTCTAAGCTTACCTTCCTGCAATTGCTGTAACTGCCTCTTCAGAGATGCCAGTTTGTCCTGATACATCCTGCAAACACAGCAGGAAACTCTGAACACCAAGCACACATAGTTTATTCCACCACCTCTTGAGGTTACATGTTTACACAGAATCAAAAACTTTTCAGAACTTCAGGAAAGAAACGAACTACAAACTTAGAGAATTTTATTCCCATGAAAGGTTCTCATTCTGTCTTAAAAATGGGTTTAAAATCTGGGATAAAATAAGATTTTTTTTGTTGTTGTGGAAACCTAAAATGACATTTAGATCTACAAACATCAGAAACTTTACAGCAGAATCATTCTTGCACTATGTCAAGTTTTATTAGCTCCCCACATTATTAAGAAAAAACCACTGAAGTCTATTCCTGGTGCTGCTGCAAACCTGCATTTCTTTTACCACACATCTGTGGTTTAACACTGGCCAAATATTCCTGACCTGTATAAAAACAGGTCTCTGCCAGTAAGCAAGAATTCAAAATACTGCAAATGCTCCTACACACTATGGACACACTATTTCAAGTCTCCCAAAAGTCAGTTTCTAGTTCAGGACTAGAATTTAATTGTTTAAGGCATTTGGCTAGGCATTTTATTTTTCCTTGGCTTATCTAAAGCAGAACATTTATTTTATTTGAAGGATCTGTCTGCAGCAGGATCCATTTGCAGCTGATCCCAGAACTCATAATTATTTCTTTGCTCAAAACAGCAGCAGCCCTCAATTCCTTGAATTTAAACAGACAATGTAACTGGGGAGAGCAGAAATACAAGTGTATGGACTCATGAGCTGTTCCACTGGGGAAAGCACTTAAAACTCCCAATCCTGGCCCAAAACTTTGCCAAATTTTAGGCAATAAATGCCCCTAAACCCACAAATAAATAGAACACCACTTTACTTGTATTTGGAATGGGTTACTTACTGTTCTTTCATTTCTACAAAGTCCTCCTCCTCATGCTTTGCTAGGTCTGTTTCACTGGCATCCTCAGTATCTAAACAAGACAAAAACCAACTTGTTAAAATTAAAAAAGTATGTAAGTAAAAAACCAAACTAAGTAGCAAATTATTTAAAAATAAGGAAACAGGAAAACAAATAAAGAAATCCCCACACTTCAGGCAATTTAGCATCAAAGACAACCTGAGAGATTAATTCAGGAGGGAAATGAAGCATCTCATGGTTCCTCCAACTGAGTTTTGCAGAACAACATGAACAACTCCAACCTCAGACAGCTTGGGAATTTCTTCCTATTTAAGATAAGGGGCTTTACATTAATACTCAGACACAGGTGAGACAAAACTGTCTGAAGACCCTGAAAGACATTTCACAAACATTTTACTGAGCACAAAGGTCTCACCAGAGAGAGCAGTTACTGGCTGGAATCTGAACTTCTCACTTATACTTCACTTAGCACTGCAACATCCAAATACCAGCACTGCCATAAAGATAGCTGCATTTTATTAATAGGCAGTATAAACTGTAAATAAAGTACATCACTGTGGGATTCCTAGTTTGCTGCTAAGACTTTCAGGCTTCTATTTGTAACATGTGGGTAGCCAAGAATCCATTACCCCCCCAAAGAGGGGTAGATTTTACAGGGAACAGCTGAGAGACCTAAACCACAGCTAATTCTCTACACATGGCAGGGGAGGCCAGCCCCTTAAATCAAACCTTTCCCAGATTTTCCTTAAACTACAAAAAGTTTAAACTTAACAATAGAATTTAAAGCAACAAAGATAAACCAAGAAGTTTTTTAACTGCAAGAAATGTACTTAAATGTCAGGGCCACCACAAAGGATTTCCACACTCTGTTGGGAGAGCCCTCACTGACCCTGTCTCCCTCTTCATCTTTAATGTATAACCAGAGGGGATGGGGGGCTCTGCTGCCAGAAACAGCCACTGCCCAAGAGTCCTTCTACATCCCCCTTATCCATCATTTTATGCCCTCTGCACTCTTGGCTGCTCTGGGTTTTACCTAATTTCGTCTTCTCCCCGGCCCCCTGGTTTTTGTACGGTCATACCCTCCTGGGCTGCTACACTTCTGTCCACACCTTCTTCGTCCTTAGCTGCGTCCTTTCCCTTCACACAGAACCAACACACAACAGGATTTCTCCTGTTTTCACTCTGATTCCTGCTCAGTCCCGCTGCTCAGCGCTGCCCCGTGTCCCACCGCCTCCGCCCACCTGGGAAACCACAACTCCACCCCTCCAGCGGCTTCGCTCTTTTACTTTTCCGCGGGGACCCGCTGCAGCCTGCCAGGTCCTTGTTTCCTTCGGGTGTTCCCGCAGTAAGAACCCCTGAAGCCCCCGACCCCCCAAACACCGTGCGGAGCGCTGCTCCCCCCCGTCCCCGGGCACCAGCCCGCCCCCGCCCCACACACCCTCGTCGGAGTCGCGGGCCCGGGCGCTCCGCTCGCCGTCCTCCTCCTCGGCGCTCTCCAGCTCCTCCTCCTCGTAGTAGTCGGGCGCGGGGGCCATGGCGGGGGCGGGCGGCCCCGGCGGGGCTGCGGGCGGCGCGGACACGAGCCCGGCCGCGCTCATGGCCGCGGGCGGGACGGGACGGAGCGGCGGCCGCTCGGCAACCGCGGCGGGAACCGCGGCCGCGCTTCCGCTTCCGGGCGGCGCCGGGGCCGCCGCGCCCCCGCCCGGCCAGCGCGGGCCCTGCGCGTCGGAGGGTCGCGGGTTCGAGTCCCGGGCCCGCCCGTGCGTGGCACGGGGTCAGACTGTGCTGGCGGTGGGGTTGACTCCTCAGTGGCTTGTGGCACTGGGCTCGTGTTCCTGGACTAGGCTCTGCTCAGACGGACAAGAGCAATGGGCAGAAACATGCATAGGAAGTTCCACCTAGAGATAAGGAAGGGCTTCTTCACTGTGCAGTGACCGAGCAGTGGAACACAGACCAAGGAGGGTGTGGAGTCTCCCTCCCCGGGCATATTCCAGAGCCGTCTGGACACCATCCTGTGCCTCGTGCTCTGGGATGATCCTGCTGGAGCAGATGATCCCACTGCGATCCCTTCTGTGATACAGACACACAGCAGACCTGCTGCCCAGACAGAGAGCAGGACCTTGCCTCAGTGGGGACAGACTCATTAGGACACTTGTACTCTTTTGAATTTTATTATATTTTAATAGAGAAATGACTTCCCTGTTCCTTCCGGCAGCGCTCCACCACAGAGAGCACAGTGATCTCACCCAGGTGAATCAGGTGCCAGTGAACAGCAGCTTTTGTACAACACGTGCCTCACATCTGCCAGGTACTGGTTATTCTCCGGACTAGGCACTGCTACAAAATTAAGGATCAAGATACATATCCTGTGGTGAGATATGCAGGAACCCACTCCCATCTGAAAATGCCTCACAGTGGTATTTCAGACAAAATATTTCATATATCTCATTTCTGCAGCTCTTATTCTCCTGGGAACGACTAATTAATCTCATCACCTCCAGCACAGCCACACTAATCGCTCACCTTCAGCTGGGAGGAGCATTCCTCACATGCACAGCTTATTGACTCACTGAGGCACTACAGACACCTCACCGAGGGGAAGGAAATGGGTTTGATCTGAAGCACGGAGCTCCAAAACCGGCAGCGCTTCTCCAAACCCGCCGAGCCGGGTGCTCAGCGCCCACAGCGGCACCAGGACACACCGCGTTCTCAGAGGGGCAGCAATAATGCAGCGCAGCCACTCGGCTTTCCTGCCGATCACCCCAAAGGTCTGTTTGCGCAGACTGGCAATTTTTAACTCGGAACACCCATACCAAGTATGCTCCATGCCTGTTTCCTTAAGTCAATATTGCCTCTAACACGGGACGAGGCTGAGGCATGGCCGTAAGTCGGCACCGCCCCCCAAGCAGCTCCCAGAAGTTCTGGGAGCGTTTTTGTCCCGGGGGAGAGACACCACCAGGGCTGCTCACCACCTCTCTTTTCCCAAGGAATGCTGTGGGTTATCAGCACGGTGGAAAGCCCTCCTTTTCCCTTCTCCCCACTCAGGCAGTGTGGCTGGCACGGCTGCCCGCGGCCCCGGGGTGAACAGGAAAGGGCGTGGTAGCGGCTGCCACATCGCATGAGCCGCCTGGTGCCCACGGGTTTGCCCTCTCCCCACACTCACACCTGGCTTGAGCCCCTCGGCTCACTCCCCAAAGCCATCCAGCCACCGAGCTACAAATAGAAACGGAACTGCAGGACTCGAGAAATAACCAGAGCCCCCTCGGAGCTTTACAAACACGAGTATTTCCCCTTTCTCCCCCGTTTCCTGTCTCTATCTGTTCCATCTGTCCACATACTCGGCTCACCAGCTCCCCTGCCAGCCGGGTTTGTGCTGCTGGGGACACCAAACCAGTTCCAAGTGTGCCTGAACCACAGCTGCCCTCCCAAGGATCATCTGCCCGGCCTCACTGCTGCCTCAGCACTTTCTGTTTGGAGCTGGCCTGTCCTCCAGCACAGCCCTTCACGCATCGGGCAGGTGCAGGCACCAACACCAGGGCACAGGAACCCCCTGAACAGCAGCCAGTGGGTAAAACAACTGCAAACTGCTGCTGATGCAAAGCGTTTTTAGCTCATTCTGCGGTCAAAACTGGGATCTCAAAGCTGTTGCTCCCTCCGTGCTAATTCCTCCTGTTTAATAGGAGCCTGCTGGAGACACCCTCTGCTGTCATCTCTCAGGCATTCAGTGGGAACCCGAGGGAGGAGGCTCAGCTTTAAGGAATGCCATGTTTCCCTTACAAACGCAGAAACTTAACTGTCTCCGCCCCAAGGAGCTGTCAGGGAAAGTGTAAAGTTCCCTGTCGAGCTGTTGTTCTTGGCTCCTGCTTCCATCGGAGCTGTTCTCGTCACAGCTCACTCAGTGCTTTGTACACGCTCACTTTGGGGAGAGATCTCTGCCTCCTGCTTGCTCAGCATCAGCTTTTCACAGAGCTGCTGACAGATGAGCCGTGCTCACTCTGCTCTTCTTTCCATTCGTAAGAAAGAGGGGGGAAAAAAGGGTTATGGAGCTCAGTTTATAAACAGGAAACTCATTGTGTGAAATTACTCAACTACATTGAGAAGAGCTGTATTGTACCTTGGCCTCTGAGGCACAGGACACACCAACACCCCTCACCAGGGACTCAGGGCTCTCAGGTTTCTGTACCTGTGGTTTCACACAGCTCTCTGAGGATGGTTCTAGAAGCCCAAGAAGGGGCACAGCTGTCAGGCGCAAGTTGGCAGAATGAGGCTGCACGAGGTACTGGCAGATAAAGCTCTGTTCCTTTAGTTTTATTTAGAAAAACGAAGCAATTAACCCCCCCATCAAATAAGTCTCTACAATTAATAAGTGTTTAGGTTCCGAGGCTGTTGGGAGCCACCAAATGTGGCAGAAACAGCACGAACTCACCTTACCCTGCTTCTGCTCTGAGCAATTCCTAACCCAGAGCTCTCAGCCCTTGCTATAGCTCCTTTTCCTTTGGGGCTTTACTGCCACATCACAGCTGCTCCTTTTGGGTACCAGGGGCCTCTTCCTGCTGGGACATGCCACAGGACACACAAACGCTGTCAAGGCCCCCCTAAAACCTACAGCATGGCTTTGACAGCTGCCTTTTTAGTGGGCCCATGCACTGTCCTCTCACACAAGAGCTGCTTGTGGGCCCCAACACCCCCCACACCTGAGACCCCCACCCTGACAATGCACACAAACACACACTGAATTAATTATGTCCCTGACACCCCTTCACACACACACCTGAGCCTTATGTGGGCCCCAATATCTGTTCCCCACACCTGAGACCACTGTAGACCACCACATGCCGCTGCCCTCCCCAGCACACACCTGAGGTTACTTTAGCGCTTGGCCCCGCACCCCCCTGAAACCACTATGGCTCCATAAGCCCCTCACACACACACACACACCTGAACCCGCTGTGGGCCAAACACCCCCGCACACACCTGAGAGCACTGTGGGCCCTAACACCCCTCACGCACACCTGAGCCCCGGCACGAACAACCACCGCCGAGGCCAACGCAGCCCCTGCCAGCCCCACGCTCACACCGTACTCCGGCCGTGCCCTCACCGTGCTCCTGCCATTCCACTCCCTCACACCCGCTCTCTCCATTCCCATCCCTCACAGCCGCTCCCGCCGTTCCCGTCCCTCACAGCCGCTCCCGCCGTTCCCGTCCCTCACAGCCGCTCCCGCCGTTTCCCGTCCCTCACACCCGCTCCCGCCGTTCCCGTCCCTCACACCCGCTCCCGCCGTTTCCAGTCCCTCGCTCCCGCCGTTTCCCGTCCCTCACACCCGCTCCCGCCGTTCCCGTCCCTCGCTCCCGCCGTTTCCCGTCCCTCACACCCGCTCTCTCCGTTCCCGTCCCTCACACCCGCTCTCTCCGTTCCCGTCCCTCACACCCGCTCCCGCCGTTTCCCGTCCCTCACACCCGCTCTCTCCGTTCCCGTCCCTCACACCCGCTCTCTCCATTCCCGTCCCTCACACCCGCTCCCGCCGCGGCACCGCGCAGGCGGCTCAATCGAGCGCCGATAGCGCTCGGTGAGGCGGCGCCGCCGAGCGGCCCGTCCTGAGCTGCCAGGCGGAGTAGCCGAGCGCCGAGCGGGGCCGGGCAGGAAGCGGCGGTGACGGGCACGGCCCGGCGGACACGCTCCGTCCCCCTCTGCTTCTCCTCCTCCTCCTCCTCCTCGTTCCTCCCCGCCCGGGCCCCGCGGACGTGGCCCGCTGCCGCCGGCCGGAGCCAGGTGAGGCACGGGCGGAGGGAGCGGCGGCGCTGGCAGGCGGGTCCCGGCGGGGCGCGGAGGGCAGGGGCAGCGCTGGGGCTGGCAGCGCGGTTGGAGCTGGCAGGGCTGGGGCTGGCAGCGGCACTTGGCGGAGTTCCGCTGTCCCGGTGCCTCGGGGCCGGGGCAGCTCCCCGGGGCTGCGAGTCGCGGTGTGAGCTGTGCGGGACCGGGACAGCCAGGACGGGGCAGTGCCCCGAGCCGGGACACCGGGAACAGCCGCTGCTTCCCTCCCTTGTCCCTGCGCTCGCCGTGCCGGGAGCTGTCCCCGGCAGCGCTCTGAACTCGGAGCTCCGGCACAGCCGCCCCGAGCGGACGGGAACGCCCCGGCAGGAGCGCAGGGAGAGAGCGGCGGTGCCTTCGCCGGCAGCGGGCACGGCTCCGCTGGGAATACCGGGATCCCGAGTGCCTCCCGGGGCGTTCCGGGCACGGGGAGCCGCGCTCCTGCCGGCTCCGAGCCGAGTTGGCAGCAGTGACGTCGCTCGGGTGCGAGCAGATGTCTCTGTCCTTTTAATGACACAGAGAAATGGTTTGCTGTAGGTGCTGGATGCCATCGAGCAGCACTCGTACTTGCGTGGGAAGGAGAAGGAAGGAGGACACGAGGCAAGTACTAAGCGTTCAGAGTTTTGTTTTATAACTACATCTCCTCGTGGCTCCTCACCCCCCTTCTCCGGGAACGTGAGTGGAATGAATTCCCTTATACAACTATGGCAGTTCTAAACTTTAGTAGCCGCTGAGTAGCCCTGGTAGATTTTCCCTGGTGGCTTCCTGAGCCCGGGCAGAACAGAGCAGCTCGGTGCTGGGTTTGCTGTCCCCAGCTGGGCTGTTCTCCCCAGGGTGAGGGAGAAGCCCGTGGGACACTGCTCTGGAAGCTGTGTGGAATGCTGGGCTCACGCACAGTCCAGCAGTAGCTCCGTGTTTGTTGAAAAACAGCAAAGCAGGTGGTGCTGATTCCGGCCCTGGTTGTGCCAGGAGGATTTGGAATCTCCTTGCCCATCTTTGTGGATAGTGATCCACATAAGAAGGTGGAAGCAGTCGGAGCTCTGCATCCACGTGGATGCAGTTCCACAGAACACAGGGGAATTTCCAAGTTGCTAGGTACAGCAGGGCTGGCTGAGGTTTGTGGTGCTGATGTTGTTTGAGAATAACTGGGCTCCAGTCTGTTCCCCGAAGTCTGCTGACATCTTTTAGCAAATGTTTAGAACGCTGCAGCACTGGCAGTGATGCAGCTGGTTTTGCCAGTGGTCATTACTTTGATGTATCCCATACCAGATTTGTGAGAGGACATGTGTTGGTGTTTCTGTGTTGATGGATTGTTTGTGGAGAGAGATAATACACCATGCTCGTCCTCTCTATGAGCTAAAAATTGGGCTATTTCTGGTAGGTAGCTATTTTTGTGTTCTCAGGGGCTAATATAACAATATAGGGCGTGTTTTAAATGTAAATACCTGTCTGCAATCTCTCTTTTGACACTGAGCTTCATACAGATATCTGACAATTCTTTCATGCACCCACAGTGAGGCTGCAAACTGTTCCTATCTACATAAATGTCTCATTTATCAAATCCAGATTTCTTATTTGCTGCCCAGCTCATCATATAACTTCCTCTGGCATCTGATTTGAGGAAACCTTGAGCTGGGTTGTTTCCATCCACCCTTCTCTGTACTGAGAGCTTTCAGATTGCAAACTAATTCTTGTTTGTGTGTGTGTATTGCTTACAGTGATTCTCTCTAAGTACTTCCCTTTTACATTGTTGCATTATTATCAGTTATAAAGGATCTTAGCTTTTAAAGGTGAGGTATTTCTACTTGTGTGCATTCTAAATGTGGCTCTTGCATCAACAGGATTTTACTGTTAGATTTGTTTTCCATACTGTGTTGCTGGATGGGGGAAACTTTCAGCAGGAATAAGCTCTGTTCCTTCTGAGTAACTTGCTGTCTTCTTTTAAAGGAAAAACCCTGTTTGAATGGAGCAGAGCTGGAGTTTGCTGGGCTGCTGAGGAGCAGGGATAGGGCAGTGGTCAGTGAGTTTGGACCGGGAACACAGACTCGTTGTGTTCTCCTCTTACAAGTTTTTGTTCCAGATTGTTCTGCAGCCTCGTGGGATGCTGCAACATCCAGGTTATGAGAAATGCCAGGGAAGGAGGTGTTTGTGGAACACTTTACATTTTATTTATTTGTTGCTTTGACACCAAAAAAAGGTGTCCAAGGTTAATGTTTTTAAATAGGAAATACATATTTTGTTTTAAGACAGAGCTCAGAGTCTTTTAACAGGACCCCTCTACAGTTCAGTCACAGCATTTACACCAAACTGAGTTTGAATGAAAGTGCAGTTTTGCCATCAAAGGCATTCAATAAGTAAATTTCTATAAAGTTCTGTTTCAGCACCTGCTCAGCTTTATTAATAGACATGCTTTCACACATCAGGGAAAAATTCAAAAAGTGAACCCAAAAGAGTATTTTGTTTTATGCTTAGTATTTTCAAACTACTTCCTCATTTGGAGGCCATTGATTAAACCAGAAGGATCTGCTTGCCCTTGGCTGTGTAATAAACATGATGCAATTGCCTGGTGCCTGCTTGGTCATCAGTTCTTCCAGGGGCAGCTCAGTGAGTTTCCCTGACAGTCTTTTTATCACTCCCTGAAATCACTCTGGCAGCTTTGTTCTAATTTTCTGAGTGAAGTGTGTTTTAGAAAGTATTGATCTGGTAAATTTAGGGTTCCCTGTGGGTAAAAAGAAGAAAATCTCCTCTCTGATTCTTATGTGGGCAGCGCAGGTTGTGACTTTTCATTGTGATCATGTAGTGGGCATCACTTAAAAGTCAGCACTGGCATTGTATGCCAGGAACTCTCATCTGTGACAGCCTCAGCTCCTCATTAATGAGGAGGAAAGTTGAAATAGAAATTAAAGTAAATTAATTGGGTGTGGCCATCTATCTCTTAAGCTACTGAAGGATGTTGGATATCTGAGTTATTAATGGTTCTGTTGCAGCTTCTCAATTGTTATAAAGCCCCACTTCCAGCATTAAAGAGCAATGTTCCTAACATGACATGTTGCCCTTATTCTGTAGATTTAAACCATGGGAATTCACTTCTAACATCCTGTTGGAAATATTAAAATTACATATTTTTAAAGATCAGTAGGTTTTGCTCTAAGGTTCAAGAGATCTGGAGTACTGGTAGTATTAATTTTTAAGTTATTTTTAATTTATTTAAATTAATTAAATACTAAAATTAGGTTGACTAATAAGTTTGTTCTTATTCAGAATGGCAAAGTACAGATTGGATTTGAGCAGGTTGGAAGATTTCTTGTTCATATACTCAATGTTTGTGTCACAAATTGTTAGTTTAATTTGTAAGGGCAGGGAAATTTCAAATTTAATATAGGGAGCTTACAAAACAAGTTTGTCTGAGTTGCTAATGAACTAGGCACTTATGCCCTTGGACAGGTAATAGCTTGATGTTGATGTAATTACTTTTTTCCCCCACCCTGAATATTAGGTCGAACTGGACTCTGGTTGATTTAGAATTTAATGACACCAGTCATTCCGTGGGAGCCTGTGGTCACTCGTGCTCCCTCCTTGGCTGCTAAAGGCTTTCCAATAGGGACAATCTCCCATTCTGGCCTCCATCCGTACCTCTTCCTGCTGTCACTGTTAATTATGATGCTGGGTTACCTGAGAGCCCAAGAAATTCCTCAAAAGAAAGGCAAATTATGACCTTGGTGTTCCATGAGTTTGTTTGGGATAAGCAGGTTTTGTGCTGCAGGTGATGCTGTCTTTAGGAAGAGAAAAAGCTGATTGTACTTCCCTAAGAAATTGTGACTGTGAGAGTGGAGATGTTAACCCAAAATCCTGGATGAACTTCCTTCCAGCTGCATTCCCCTGGAGTCTAAAACACACACCTGGCTTTTGTTTGGGTTTGTTGCTTTTCTACAGAAAATTAATTCCTGGGGAGTACCCCAGGATCACTGTGGTGCAGAACATGGCACTGGGAGGAGTGAGTCTTGTATGCAGCGTATGTATTTCCACACATCTCAAACAGCTCAGGATGTTGGGACTACCAGATACCATCAACATTTTGTGAGCAGGATGTCATTATTAGATTGGAACTGATGAATGTCAAACGTTGTGGTGAGTCTGTTTTTAGAGAGATGCAGACTGTGCTCGCTTCCTACATTAAACCTAATTTTTATATGTGAGCTGTGGTTCTGTTGCACAAAATCTGGCATAATATTGAGCAGATTTATTTAGTGTTGCCCTTGAACGTTGTGAGTGTTTAAGCCAGATTTACAGGAACACAGTCAGTGATGATTCATATTGAGATGATGTTTTTCTCCCTTGTAATGGAGCATATGGGACTACGTAGCATATGGTACCGCTGAAAAT